CCCCCATTTTTCCCCATTTTTCCCCCATTTTCCCCCCGATTTTCCCCCATTTTCCCCATTTCCCCCGTTTTTCCCGATTTCCCCGTTTCTCAGCCCATTTCTCACCTCTGGGGCTCGCGCAGCTCCTCGGTGACGTAATTGAGGAAATTCCAGCCCCCGTAAGCGAAGGAGCCCTGGAGACAGGCCAGGAACAGCGGCCCCGCCCCCGGCCCCGCCCACATCCGGAACGCCTGCGAGGGGCGGAGCCAAAAGTGCTCCCCTGCCAAGGGAAACCTGCCCGATGCTTCCGCAATCCCGACGCCATTTTTCCCATTTTTCACATTTTTTTGGGGGTTTTTTTGGATTTTTTTCGGATTTTTTTTTTATTTTTTTTGGATTTTTTTCGGATTTTTTTTGGATTTTTTTCGGATTTTTTTTTGGATTTTTTTCGGATTTTTTTTGGATTTTTTTCAGATTTTTTTTGGATTTTTTTCGGATTTTTTTCAGATTTTTTTTGGATTTTTTTCGGATTTTTCTCTGATTTTTTTCGGATTTTTTTCAGATTTTTTTCGAATTTTTTTCGGATTTCTTCTGATTTTTTTCTGATTTTTTCCGATTTTTTTCGGATTTTTTTCGGATTTTTTTTGGATTTTTCTCTGATTTTTCCGGATTTTTTTTTTTTATTTTTTTCTGATTTTTTTCAGATTTTTTCGGATTTTTTTCCGATTTTTTTCAGATTTTTTCGGATTTTTTCCTGATTTTTTTGGATTTTTTTCGGATTTTTTTCGGATTTTTTCCTGATTTTTTCAGATTTTTTTGGATTTTTTTCAGATTTTTTTCAGATTTTTTTCGGATTTTTTTCAGATTTTCTTTGGATTTTTTTTTATTTCTTTCAGATTTTTTTCTGATTTTTTTCGGATTTTTTTTGGATTTTTTTGGTTTTTTTCCTGATTTTTTTGGATTTTTTCGGATTTTTTCCGGCTTTTTTCCCGACTCTCCGGAATTTTGGGGTTTTTTTGGGATTTCTTTGGGGATTTTTCCAGGCCAGGAACAGCGGCCCCGCCCCCGGCCCCGCCCACATCCGGAACGCCTGCGAGGGGCGGAGCCAAAAGTGCTCCCCTGCCAAGGGAAACCTGCCCGATGCTTCCGCAATCCCGACGCCATTTTTCCCATTTTTCACATTTTTTTGGGGGTTTTTTTGGATTTTTTTTTGATTTTTTTTTTGGATTTTTTTTTGGATTTTTTTTTGGATTTTTTTCGGTTTTTTTTTGGATTTTTCTCTGATTTTTTTTGGATTTTTTTCAGATTTTTTTCAGATTTTTTTCGGATTTTTTTCCGATTTTTTTCGGATTTTTTTCTGATTTTTTTCAGATTTTTTTCGGATTTTTTTTTGATTTTTTTTGGATTTTTTTCGGATTTTTTTCAGATTTTTTTTGGAATTTTTTCGGATTTTTTTTGGAATTTTTTCGGATTTTTCTCAGATTTTTTTGGATTTTTTTCACATTTTTTTCGGATTTTTTTCTGATTTTTTTCCGATTTTTTCGGATTTTTTTCGGATTTTTTTCAGATTTTTTTCGGATTTTTTTCAGATTTTTTTCAGATTTGTTTCCGATTTTTTTCTGATTTTTTTAGGATTTTTCTCATATTTTTTTGGATTTTTTTCACATTTTTTCCGGATTTTTTCTGATTTTTTTCCGATTTTTTTGGATTTTTTTCGGATTTTTTTCTGATTTTTTTCCGATTTTTTTGGATTTTTTTTGGATTTTTTTCGGATTTTTTTCGGATTTCTTTCAGATTTTTTTCTGATTTTTTCCAGATTTTTTTCAGATTTTTTTGGATTTTTTTCGGATTTTTTTCGGATTTTTTTTCGCATTTTTTTCAGATTTTTTTTGGTTTTTTTTGGATTTTTTTCGGATTTCTTTCCGATTTTTTTCTGATTTTTTTCGGATTTTTTCCTGATTTTTTTGGATTTTTTCGGATTTTTTCCGGATTTTTTCCCGACTCTCCGGAATTTTGGGGTTTTTTTGGGATTTCTTTGGGGATTTTTCCAGGCCAGGAACAGCGGCCCCGCCCCCGGCCCCGCCCACATCCGGAACGCCTGCGAGGGGCGGAGCCAAAAGTGCTCCCCTGCCAAGGGAAACCTGCCCGATGCTTCCGCAATCCCGACGCCATTTTTCCCATTTTTCACATTTTTTTGGGGGTTTTTTTGGATTTTTTTTTGATTTTTTTTTTGGATTTTTTTTTGGATTTTTTTTTGGATTTTTTTCGGTTTTTTTTTGGATTTTTCTCTGATTTTTTTTGGATTTTTTTCAGATTTTTTTCAGATTTTTTTCGGATTTTTTTCCGATTTTTTTCGGATTTTTTTCTGATTTTTTTCAGATTTTTTTCGGATTTTTGTCGGATTTTTTTCGGATTTTTTCCGATTTTTTTCAGATTTTTTTCAGATTTTTTTGGATTTTTTTCAGATTTTCTTCAGATTTCTTTCGAACTTTTTTGGATTTTTTTTCTGATTTTTTTCCGATTTTTTCCTGATTTTTTCGGATTTTTTTCAGATTTTTTTCGGATTTTTTTTGGATTTTTTTCAGATTTTTTTTTGGATTTTTTTCGGATTTTTTTCGGATTTTTTTCTGATTTTTTTCAGATTTTTTTGGATTTTTTTCGGATTTTTTTCAGATTTTTTTTCAGATTTTTTTTGGATTTTTTTCTGATTTTTTTCAGATTTTTTTGGATTTTTTTCAGATTTTTTTCGGATTTTTTTCCGATTTTTTTCCGATTTTTTTTCTAATTTTTTTTTATTTTTTTCAGATTTTTTTCGGAATTTTTTTGGATTTTTTTTTGGATTTTTTTCGGATTTTCTTCTGATTTCTTTCGGATTCTTTTCGGATTTTTTTTTTTATTTTTTTCTGATTTTTTTTCCGATTTTTTTCGGATTTTTTTCAGATTTTCTTATCCCTTTCCTGGTTTTTTTCCCCAATTTTTCCCCATTTTTTCCCCATTTTTTCCCATTTTTGCCCCATCTTTTCCCATTTTTTCCCCATTTTTTCTCCAACTTTTTCCCCATTTTTTCCCATTTTTCCCCCAATTTTTTCCCAGTTTCCTCCAAGTTTTTCCCCAATTTTTCCCCAATTTTTTGCCATTTTTTCCCCATTTTTTCCCATTTTTTCCCCATTTTTTCCCGTTTTTTCCCATTTTTTCCCATTTTTTCTCCAAGTTTTTCCCCATTTTTCCCCGTTTTTTGCCCATTTTTTCCCCAATTTTCCCCCCATTTTTAACCCTTTCTTCCCCATTTTCCCTCATTTTTCCACCCTTTTTCCCCGGGTTTTTTTCCCCAAACTCCCCAAAATCCCCGTTTTTTCCCCAAATCCCTGTTTTCCCGCCCATTTTTTCCCCAAATCCCCGTTTTTCCCCAAAATCCCCGTTTTTTCCCCAAATCCCTGTTTTCCGCCCGTTTTCTCCCCAAATCCCCGTTTTCCCGCCCGTTTTTTCCCAAAATCCCATTTTCCCGCCCGTTTTTCCCCCGAAATCCCCGTTTTTTTCCCAAAATCCCCGTTTTCCGCCCGTTTTTCCCCCAAAATCCCCGTTTTTCCCCAAAATCCCCGTTTTTCCCCAAAATCCCCGTTTTCCCACCCGTTTTTCCTGAAATCCCCATTTTTTCCCCAAATCCCCTTTTTTCTGCCCGTTTTTCCCCAAAATCCCCATTTTTCCCCAAATCCCCGTTTTTCCCCAAATCCCGGTTTTACCGCACGTTTTCCCCCCAAAATCCCCGTTTTTTCCCGAAATTCCCGTTTTTTCCCCCAAAATCCCCGTTTTTCCCCAAAATCCCCATTTTCCCGCCCGTTTTTTCAAGAAATCCCGGTTTTTCCCCAAAATCCCCGTTTCCCGCCCATTTTTTCCCCAAATCCCTGTTTTTTCCCAAAATCCCCGTTTTCCCCCAAAATCCCCGTTTTTCCCCCGAAATCCCCGTTTTTCCCCAAATCCCCATTTTCCCGCCCATTTTTTCCCCCGAAATCCCCGTTTTCCCACCCGTTTTTTCCCGAAATCCCCGTTTTTTCCCCCGAAATCCCCGTTTTTTCCCCAAAATCCCCGTTTTTCCCCCAAAATCCCCTTTTTTCCCGCCCATTTTTTCCCCAAATCCCCGTTTTTCCCCAAAATCCCCTTTTTCCGCACGTTTTTTCCCCCAAAATCCCCGTTTTTTCCCCGAAATCCCCGTTTTTTCCCCCAAATCCCCGTTTTTTCCCCTAAAATCCCCGTTTTTTCCCCGAAATCCCGTTTTTTCCCGAAATCCCGTTTTTTTCCCCCGTTCCTCACCTCTGGCGATCAGCACGGCGCCCGCGCCCACGATCAGCGCCAGCGTGGCCCCAAACTCCCCAAAATCCCCGTTTTTCCCCCAAAATCCCCGTTTTTTCCCCAAAATCCCCATTTTTTCCCCCGAAATCCCCGTTTTTTCCCCCAAAATCCCCGTTTTTTCCCCAAAATCCCCGTTTTTTCCCCCAAAATCCCGTTTTTTCCCGAAATCCCGTTTTTTTCCCCCGTTCCTCACCTCTGGCGATCAGCACGGCGCCCGCGCCCACGATCAGCGCCAGCGTGGCCCCAAATTCCCAAAATTCCCCATTTCCCACAACATTCCCGCCCTTTGCCCAAATTCCCAAATTCCCACAGTTTTCCCCATTTTTTCCTCAAATTTTTCCCCAATTTTTCCCCATTTTTATTCCATTTTTTGTCCATTTCCCCCATTTTTCCCCCGTTTTTCCCCCATTTTTTCCCCAATTTTTCCTCATTTTTTCCCCAATTTTTCCCAATTTCCCCATTTTTTCCCCAATTTTCCCACCCCATTTTTAACCCTTTCTTCCCCATTCCTTCCCCGTTTTCCCTCATTTTTCCCTCATTTTTCCACCCTTTTTCCCCGGGTTTTTTTCCCCAAACTCCCCAAAATCCCCGTTTTTTCCCCCAAAATCCCGTTTTTTTCCCGAAATCCCGTTTTTTTCCCCCGTTCCTCACCTCTGGCGATCAGCACAGCGCCCGCGCCCACGATCAGCGCCAGCGTGGCCCCAAACTCCCCAAAATCCCCGTTTTTCCCCCAAAATCCCCGTTTTCCGCCCGTTTTTTCCCCAAAATCCCTGTTTTTTCCCCAAATCCCGTTTTCCCGCCCGTTTTCCCCCCAAAATCCCCGTTTTTCCCCAAATCCCGTTTTCCCACCCGTTTTTTCCCGAAATCCCCGTTTTCCCCCAAAATCCCCGTTTTTCCCCAAATCCCCTTTTTCCGCCCGTTTTTTCCCCCAAAATCCCCGTTTTTCCCCAAAATCCCGTTTTTTCCCGAAATCCCCATTTTCCCCAAAATCCCCGTT